AGAGTTCAGGAGGATGACGATGGGGGCGGGGGTGAATAGTGGATTAAAATTATAAAATAGGCAAAATAATTCTATTTAGCGGATTTAGAATCTTAATAGTGTGCTCAGCACACTAAGCGGATATCAGAATCCAAACTGTGTGAAATGTTACTCGACAGAATAAATCACAAAAGCACACTAACAAAACTACTATGGTTATCAGGGTAGCAAGAGATTAGTAACACTCTCTTTCTGTATGCATAGATGGGACGAAGATTTTCGTTGGCAATGGCTTCTGCCAACCGAAGCAGCCATGTTTTTCTTTGTGTATTGATTATTTCGAAAGCCTAACTAATTTCCACTGTATGTCCCGTGTCGGTCAGTTAGATGTCTGGAAATTGAACTTGAGAACACTTTGTTGCCTTTCGAACGGGGGACTTTTAGGGATATGCTCGGTGAATCTAATAAACGCTGTCCTCTCCACCCTTCCCATATACTTGGTGCCACAAATGCCAGTGAATTGGTAAATGCAGTTGGAGTTAACATGTGGAATAGGATACTTATCTACTTTTAACTGAGTTAACAAGCATATCATGTTTTCATTGTTGTGTTAGTAGTTTTTGGTTGGTTTGTTGTCTGCAAGAGTTCCTCTTTGAATACCCTTCGAGTTGACCAGCCATGTGATCTTCAGTATTAGGCCAGAGAGGGGAAGTGCCGGTGGAAGTCTGTTTTTTGGTGACGTGCACACGAAGTCTGTAAACCGTATAGAAGCACTGAGTAACTTGTCAATATTGTTGAAAATTCGGATCTTTTTCGTTGTATTGATTGTAGAAGATCCTGAATATTTGCCACACCTTCATCCGTCCCACCGCCTTTAGTTGAAGCGACGTTAGTGTGTAATATTAAAAATTAACAGAGAAGCTTTATAGTTTAGATTAGTGTATGTAGTGTAATTGTCTTAGCTGAGATAAATGGTCTATTTGAAGAGACTTCTTTATGCTTCTCGAAAAATCTTAGAAGGTACCCTTTGGGGCATTCTAAAGGAAAGAACAAGAAGTTCAAGAAATAGATATCTTTTGATGGCAGGACTCCATCATCAGCTGGCATCGATTAGAGTACCATTGGAAAACCAGTCAGGGAGTACTGTACAGCCAGCTGTTTTGTCCTACTTTGGAAAACCTCATCAGCATGCACCCCTACAAGGGTTCGAACCCCGAAAATATTCTGGTTACTGGGCTAGATAGCTCGTAGACCAAAAGGCCACTGGAACGCAATCCAATGATCAACTCATGAATTAAAACTTCTGCCAGTTTATAATACAGTGCGACTGACACTAGCCAATGTTATCGCTGTCGAGTACGTCTCCTAACAACCAACACTCAAATATCAATCTGATGGTCAGTGGTGACCACCTGTATTCATGTAGGCTGCCTCCATACTGAAGATCAAATGGTCAGCTGGCTGGCTGGCTGGCCAGAATGAATCGGTAGCAGGAGATTCTGCCTGGCAACAAACCAACTAGGAGACGACTGCTCAACAAATATGTAAGATAAAGTGGAGATGGATAGAATGGGCATACGTCACTGAGGAGGCCATTGAATGAAATCGCGCAGAATGCAGGCCATCGCTCGAGTGGATTCCGAATAGAGAACGACTAGTGTGTTGTTGGTGTGGGGGTGACATGGGAATAATACTAATAAATAGTGTCTTATTATTTCCTCAACTTACATAGCGTTATTCATAGACGATGTTGACTTTGATCCAGTTATATTCACTGAGTACAACAGTTTAATTGTGAATAACCTAATCTTGATTGGACAGAAGATTTCATCACGAGCTCTGCCATCAGTTAGAGAACCACTGGAAAACCTGGGAGTACTGGACACCTGTATTGTCCTAGTTTGGGATTCTTCAGCCAGTAACTCATCGAGGAAGACATTGCAAAGTGGTTGCGCTATGTTGTGAAGTGGCAGAAGTTAGAATTCATGGGCAGTTGGATCGGGCCTCAATGAATTAATGGTCTACGAGCTAGCTCGCTTTTTTGTGACCAGAAGATCCTGCGTTCGAACAGTGGCGATGGATGAGTACTGATGAAGAGTCCCACACTAGGTTGACGAAACAGTAGTCCAGTACTCTTAGGTTTTCCAGTGCTTCACTAAATGCAGTGGGCTCATGATGAAATCCTCCGTCCGATCAAACAAAATCACTACAAAACCAAATACTTGATCTAATTTTATCTCTAGAAGAACTTTTCATTCTGTATCAATATTTATCATTTTTATTGACTTAGAATTTGATGAGTTTTACTAAAGCTGATAAATTTCAGGCATAATAATGTGTCTATTAATAGCTGATTTGTCTGAGTACCAAGCGTTTGTCTGGTGTTTCCAATATTTACAATTTCAACATTTTCCCATCCAAATTGGCGTGCATCCTTTTTTTTATCACAGCTTGATTCCACACTGTATTTTCGGTACAAGTATGGAGATTTTCAGCATGGATATCTCGGTAGCCCAAATTTTGCAGGCCGATCATAGACATCAGGTGTGCTTCGTCGGCAGGGGATCGAACCTCGAACCATGTGCATGGTCGTCAAAAGTCCTAACCACTGTGCCTACATGTACCGATATATAGGAATATATATTTTATCTCCTTTGATAGCTTACTTACACTCTTGGACTATCACTTGAAGGGGATGTCCACATAAGGCTTTTCACGGTATATTTTGTAGATGGTATCGACCCTGTATTCTTTTTCTGTTAACTAAGTCTTTTGGTTTACACAGTACTGAATGAAGTAATTCTTTTCGGTTTGTGTGCTATATCTATACCGGATGGCCCCCGAATATTCTAGCTGTTATTTCATAAATATTCTTCACATCTATTTTTTTCCTTAACGTTCCCAGTGGAACAAAGGGCGGCTTCAAGCTAGAGACTTAAAGTTTCTGTAACAGTGGTGATTATTTTTACAGGATGGTGTTGCTGGCCTCATCCCCAACCTTTCCTCTTTGCTAGTTTTTTAATTACTTGCTAAGTAATGTAAAGGAGTTCATCAGTAGCTACGGATCGAAACTTGGACAATGTGCATGGTCGACGAGCGTCCTAACCGCTGTTCCACCGACGCACTATTTTTCACTTATGGTAGAGTGAATTTTATTATGATATCTAAGGGTTGATGTAGCTGATTTTGCTGCCCTACTGAGGCTTTAGGTATAGAAACAAGGACTGAGCATATCACTCCAACGTAACCAATCAGTAGAAAATTCGAATCAACTAAAAAAACCTAAATAAAAAGTGAACTGTAATTTGTCAAGGAGATTGTCAATAAATTCTTTAAATGAAAATTGACAAGACAAGTTATCAACATCGTCAGTGCGAAAAAGACTTGTAACTCGAATAAATGCTTTTGGTGTTACAGTGCTTTGTGAGCTGGTTAGCTTCACTATGAATTCCTGATTGTCCTTCTTAAAGTCACCAAGAATATGACGCGCTAAATATGCTGTCCAGTAGGACAGCTAAATCATCCAGCTAAGAGAATACAATACCAGAATTGTGTCATTTTCGACTAAATTGATTAGAATCAACTAAGGAACGCAATGTGCGTCAGTGGTTTAGCGGTAGGTTGCTCGAAGTGTTTGTAATCTAAGCGTTCATTAACAGTTCATGACCGAAAATTAAATCCCTGAAGAACAGCGTTTTGAAAAGTGATATGATTGGTTAATTTAGCTCAACGCGGTCTAATTAAAACTTGGGCTATCGAAAACAACCTCCATCAATATATTGCATATAATATCTCTTATTCAGTTTGTTTAAATCTAGTAAGATATGACCTAATTTTCTTAATTTATTTAGTTTTTTTAAATTTTTGATTACAGCTTGATTGGTACAAGTATGGAATTTTCAGCGTGGATATCGGTAGCCCAAATTTTGCAGGCCGACCATAGATACCAGGTGTGCGTCGGCAGGGGGTCGGCGAGAGTCCTAACCACTGTGCCACCGACCTCTAAGAGTACTGTTCACTCTGGTGAGTATTTAAAACATTTGCTACCTACTCATTCACAAGTTTCTACTACACATGTGTAAAAGCATTATCCTGGATGGCAGATTATCCAATACATGAGATTACCGTTCCTGAGTGGTGTCCTTGGTTTGCACAATGTACTCCTGAACTTTTTATAATTGGCATTCAACAAAATTTCTTCTGTACTTCTAGAAACAGAGAAAGAAGAGATATCATAATATACTGGTTTGCGCTTCAGGAAAGATAGAACTGTGTGACACGATACTTGAAAATCAATGGATACTAACTAGCGATTGGCTCTATTGAGGTAGTTGGTTACCTGGGGTTCTAGTGGGACGTCGTGACCAATAGGGTGCAGCAGGTGGAGTGTGAAGACAAATACTCACTAGAAACATTGGCTAGAGATCGCGCTATGTCGTGAATTGGCAGAAGTTGGAATTCATGTGCTGGCCATTGGATTGGCAGGTTCCAGTGGTTTAATGGTCTAGGAGCAAGCTCGCCCTGTAACCACAAGGTCATGGGTTCGAGCAGTGGCGATGGGTGCGCACTGATGAGGAGTCAAAAACTCCGACGAAACAACTGGCCAGTACTGTTTGCTGGTTTCCAACGGTTATCTAACCGATGTAAGCTCATGATGAAATCCTGTAACCAATTAATCAAATCCCTACAGACCAATATTTTAAAATCAGTCTCTTATTAGAAGATCCTGGACGAAGAGGAAATATCATGCATTTAACTCCTCGGAAAATCCTGTAGTTATATTTCAATATTGTTCAAAAATGAAGGTATTATTTTATATAATATTATGCTATATGTTATGCTACCGTTTGTGATTAGTTAATAACAGTTGGAGTACTTTTATTTGATTGGTCAGTAATACTTAAATTTAGAGTGGCTTTATGTGATTGGTTGAAAACCACCAATCAGGAAGTTGTTCGAGTTGAACTTGCCATAGTGTCATTCAGTTTGTATTAGTTACTCATCACCTCATATCTTTATTACGTAACTATTACCACTGTATTCAAACACTTATTTATTTATTTTGCTTAAACTTGAACTTTTGGTGTATACAAGTGTAATGCCTGACCATCATTCATTACGACTGGAACTCCCTTGTCATTAAGTGACATTATGTAATATTTGCAAGCATGTTAAAACTGTACGTCTGTCATAATAACCGGGTGAATTACTCATCCAACGAAATGTTACCATATACATACATTATAAAAGATGTAATTAAATGACGCGCTCTATCCGAAAACAATTCAATGTGTACAATATGTATAGAACTTCCATTGTATTCATTTTACTTATCATATGTAAATTGCTACAAGGAGAAAATATCTATCCTACAGATTTTCGTTCATTAAATTTAGGCTCATGTACATTAAATGGTGGAGATGTATACTGTCAACAGTATAGACGAGATAGTTTTTGTTCTCTTCTGCAAGATGAATGTTTTTGTCTACCTGGATATGTATCAGTGAATGAAATGGACGACAGCTGGTATACCTGTAAACCATGTGAGTTGATTTGAAACACTTTTGTGATACATATTTCTATATTTGTTTATTTTATTGGGTTTGACTAGCGTTAGGGTTACTCGTGCGTCAACCGCGGCTCACATGATCTGAGGTTCGATCCTCGGCTGACACACTCCTTAACCTCGCTGAGCTGGTAGAAAGGCCAGTAGAGAGGGAGACTTGGGACTGAGGCTAGCGACCTCACCCCGTAAAAATGAAAACAATCACTGTGACTGAAACTTCAAAGCTCTCTATTTTGAATCCGTCCTATTTTCCAGTAGGAACGAAAGGAATAAAAAAAACTGCTGTTAAAAAGACGAATTTTTATGCAGCTTAGATCATACTAATTGAGAATGTGAAGCCAATATATCCATCCATCTAAGCCTTTCGAACATGCGAAAAATGATGTCACATCCCACTGTATTTACCAGTTTGAATGTATATATGGACTCACACACTTATGGAGGACTCATCGGTCTCTGCAAGTAAGAGCTGGCCTCAGAACATATTCCTAATGCCTCCAGAAACAAATAGAATCTTCAGAATCCATTAATGGTGAGAACAGGAAACATATTATTGATGGGATAGGATATAAAATTGGCATTAACAGATCTTTTAAACCTATCCATAAAACGTGTTTGAGAGAGGGCGTATCTTAAAGTTTGTGGAAGCCCTAGCCCAATTAGAAAGTTTAAACCACCTTTATGCGTTCAAAGTAACAATTCGTCATCACATTAAACCTTCCTTGGTAAATATTGTTTTGATACCATAACAGATGTACTATTACCTCTGTTATTTGGTTTAGTGGTCTTCATTGTTATTTTGACCTTCAATGTATTCTTTTAACTTGACCTAAGTCTGCTTTCCCACCTCTTAACTCTTTATTAATTTCATATAGATTCATTCCTATGACAAGTCCGTGTATGATGGATCAGATTGTTCGAAATGCGTTGTGCGCAAATACAACATTACACGATTCAGACAAAAAATACGTCTTCTTATTGCTTTATCTTAACCTATATTTATGAAAAAAGCATATAAACTTTAGAAAAATTGTTACAGAGGATACCTTACATTCACATGTGATAAAAATAGCTCTCCTGTTTTAGGTTGGGGTTTCAGCAGAGTATAATTCCATTCTGGGCAAAATTTATGTTGATAACGTCTCAGTGCAATAGTTATATTTATCAAGCAATAAATTGTGCTCGAAACGTGATCATCAGTAAATATTACTGTATATGAATGTGAGACTTTATCAAAATAAATTGTACCCACAATGGAATTACACTCTACCATCACAGTGCACAAGTTCTATTCTTATATCAGCAGAGTCATTTAACCACATTCTATGCATGTAATTAATTATTTAGGTCTTCTAGCCTTAACGTGAAAATATCCCTAAACTAACTTTAACCTAACCCTAACCAAACCTAATGTCGCGTGTATTAGGTTAACCTAACTCTAACTTGTCCTTGGCTTAATATGTAAATTATTCTTTGCCAAACCTAAGCTGAAACTTGCCAGATATCCCATTTAATAGCATTACAGTCCAATTAGCATATTTTATTGATGACGACAACATTATTTGTCGGGTTCCACCAATTTGCTCAGTGAGCGTTTCAAGGTTATTGGTGTGGTCGCACGCACTCCATTGGTAAGTAGTGGTGCTTAAAGTAAAACTTGACCTTGACAGCATCACCAGTTGAAGGAATGTCAATCACATTAAGTCTTTGATATTTAACCGGAAACGTCCCATTATCTTTCTGATCAACATATTCAGTGCTAACTTCATGATTTTTTTTTGTATATAATACATCTGAAATGTAACAGAACAGCCCGAAAAAAATGTTGCTTAAAATATTAAGGAAGATTAATTTGACTTTACAGGCTTTTTGATTTTCGATTTCTATTTTAAATCGTGGAGTACACTCATGTGGACATTAAATTAAAGCATTTCAGTGTATATTTTTTCAGGACTCAATTCAGTTTGAGATTCATGGAGGGCTGTTTCCTCCTAATCTGGGATTCTATACCAGTACACGACTACAACTACATTAGGGGTCAAACCTTGGACCTTTAGGTTACAAGATCAAGGTGGTTTACCATTCGGTCACTCGGGCCGAAATTTATTCATCTGTAGATTCTAACATCTGTCATTTTGTGATGTAGTACTACTCACTGTCAACGAATCCCATCGACAAGTAACCACTTCAACTTGACATGATAGACCTTTATTCTAACTGTCCTTTTCAGCTTCAAGACATAATTCAAGTTAAAAGACAATACAATTTGTGTTTTTTTTATTACAGCTTGATTCCACACCGTATTTTTGGTTCAAGTATGAAATTTTCAGCATGTGATATCGGTAGCCCAAATTTTTCAGGCCGACCATTGATATCAGGTGTGCTTTGGAAGGTAATCGAACCTTGTACCATATGCACGGTCAGTGAGAGTCCTAACCACTGTGTCACCGACGTATACTAAAGAGTGAAATTACAATGGACATTAATATGTAGAACAATTAGTCCTTTCAATAATTTTGAATAACGCAGTCAGAAGACAAATATCACGAGTTGACGTCATCATCTCGTAGTTTCTCTGCAATTGCTTGAAAACTAACACTATTGGCTCACAATAATAAAATAAAATGTATGACAATTGCTTACTTGTGTAAAACAAAAGTACATACTAATGACGAATCACTATGGTAGGCGAAGGTTGAAGTCTCTTATTTTTTGTACTCACATGGTTAAGCATGTATGTGAGTAATCCCCCAAAGTGCTTCCATCATCACCTTTAATCGCCGACCTTGAATAAGAGTTATGTGATGAAATAATTGTGAAGCAGTCATTAATTAATATTGATTTTGTGACCTAATAAGATAATAAGTTTCACCATGGATCGACATCAGTTAGAGAACCATTGAAAATAAAATCTTGGAAATTGACGAAGTTTCCTGGAGTCAGTTCTAGGGAGAAGTCGTGACCAGTGAGATCTCTCCAGTCAAATGTGAGGATGGATTTCCAACCGATGACTTTGGTTGGTGCCAGTCGTGGTAAATGTATCGCAAGTTGTTAGAAGTTAGAATTCATGGCTTGGCCATTGAATCGGGTTGGGCTCAGTGAGTGTTGCTGAATGGTATACGAGCCAGCTGGCTGGTCTTGTAACCAACAGGTCCTGTGTTCGAACCCCACTGGGGTGTTTGCGTACTGCCGATGATTCCCAAACTAGGATGAAACAACTGCAAAGTACTGTAGTGCTGGTTTTCATTGATTCTCTAACTGATATCACTCCCACGTCAAACTCTTAAAAACAAACCTAAATCTCATAGACTCAGCTCTTGAAAAATAATAAGTGCTTTGCAATGAGTGGGGATGGATTTCTATTCAAATTAATTGCATTTAGATTTTCTTTGTGTTTTAATAACTATTTTGGAACATGTTCTTTTCCACGACATTGGAACATTCTATTGGTTCTGTCTATATTAGTGTCACCACAAGTGTAGGTGAACTTTCAGATACAATGTAAAGTAGAGTCTACAGAATTTCGTCCTCTAGTCGTATGTACAGGAATCGAAAATGTTCGAGACGTTTTCTAAATACTTTATTTAAATTTATCAGAGGGACCAATTGTTTTAATACATTTGTCTATAATAGCTTAATTCTGAAAAATGCGTTTACACCCAATCCAGGATTTACAGGAAGTTTTATTGCAAGGTATTAATATCTTTTGCAGAATATTAAAGTAATATAATTATCGATTATATATCATCTGAAGCTTTCTGCAGTACTACCTCACGATGTTCTTCTTCAATATCCTTTGAAAAATCCCTAGCAATAGGAAGAAATTTATTTGAAATAGTCCGCCGACATGAATAGTGATTCATTGTGCTAATTAGTTCATTTAAACAATATTAAAAGTAGCAGTCACGAGACATTTTGATGCATAAGAAATACAGACAGCTCCGTAAGTTCAGAAAACCAACGTGTATCTTGCAATACGATAGAATATTTGAAATTAGCTGGCCTGAGATTTTAGTCTGTACAGTTGCTTTTATCAGATGGTTCCACACGACTGACTGACCAAGTGAATGGTCAACCAAAGTGGTCTCGTAAAGTGAAGATCTACTTGTGCATTCTACTGAAGGGTCTGTGGTTTCTAATGATCCCCTAAATACCGCTGGTTTCCACTGAAATCTACATTGAAACTAATACAATTTCATTAGGTGATGATGTACCCTTGGGTTCTGACTGGAACTTAAAGCTTCACTAACACATTTCCATTTTGCACTAATCTCTGAAATCCTCTCCAACTTGGTCCACAATTGCCCATAATCTGTCATTACCTCCTTGCTACGCGATCTTCTTCATGTCACCCTTGAACCCCGAGTCAACTAGTCATTTCGTATTCGGGACCCACCCGATGCCCTGGTGCGCGACATAACCAGATGGTCTTCTCAGCTTATTTCTGATCGATGCTCATTTTCTACTCCATATTTGTTGAGCAGTCGGTTTGTCGTTAGTCTGTTGTTGCCAATTCGTTCTGGCTAGCCATGTTATCTTCAATATCGAGTAAACTAAGGCAGCTGTTGATGTAAGTCTGCAGCCAGTTAGAAATGCTTCCCATGACTCACAGTGCAAGTTTATAACTTATACAGAAGAACTGACTAACTTAACACTCGTGCTGAACAGAATCTGAATTTTTTTTTAAACTGTATGCAACAGATTTTCTCAACTAACTCAGAGTGTTGAAGGTCTGTTTCATCTTTCCGATTTTACTTTTGACATGTTCATCTATGCCCCCTGAAGTTGAAACGAAGCTGCTTAGGTAGGTGAAGGAATTGACACATCTATTCCGTTGATAATGACTGATCCTTGATGTTATCGGTAGACAGGCATCTTTATCACCTCTACCTTCTCTATATTCACTCAAAGTTCTGTCTCTACCCCTTCATCTTCTAGCTTGATGGTTCTCTCCTGTTATTCTTTGATTTTTTGTGA